TAGTTGCAGTCCACATGGGCTCTCTCAGACTGGCTGCATGCATTGCCTGCGGCTTTATCACACAGACCACATGCTTGGCATCTCCAGTGCTTGGGGTCTCTACTGTGCCTTCATACAACACCCTCTTGGGACATTTTGTGTGGCCTCTTATGCCTTTCTTTGAAATCTGGGTGGAAGCCTCCATTACCTTACAGCTCTTGCATTCATCATGCTTGAAAATGCAGTGCCACATAGATGGTGCCAAGGTCTTCCTCTAGCCCAAGCAGTGGCCTAGACCGGAAGGCCATGATTGCAAAGGTCTCTGAGTGCCAGGATGGCTGAACTTTGAGGAGATCACTTCCATTGGTGTCTCTAATGAACATGGTAGTATTAGTGTGTAGCAATAAAGTACAACCTTTTTGTTCTTTTCTTCATCTTTCATCTACAATGTCCCTTATGCCTAAAAAGCATGTATTAGAGTTTCTTTTGCTGTAGTCTCTTCATGAAGAATTTGTTCAGATATTTTTAGTTTAATATTTTAATACATACATGTATGCACATGTAAATGTACACACATACATAGTATTGACTTAACATTTGGAATTCAATTTCTGTGTCATAAATGTTTTTCATTTTTATTGCTTTTGCTTAGGTTGATGCACCTCAGTCCAACTGTTGACCTTGAAAGGTAGTTTTCTTTTCCTCTTTAAAATTTTTTTTCTTTGTCTGTTGTTTCTAGTAGTTTAATTTGATATTACTATTTATTATTATCTTAGAATTCAATCTGTGTAGATTCATTGTGCCCCTTACTCTTTATTCAGAATTGGAGAATTCAAAATATAAGTGTACAGTTTATCTTCCATTATAACTGTGACCATATACATGGATTCAATAAACAGCAGATTGAAAATATTGGGAAAATCATTGTATTTGGGCTGGGCAGTTCTTGCTTGTCTGGATTATGTAGTTCATTAGCTCTTTTATAAATCTTATGTTTCAAAGTTAGTATAATTTTCTTGACTTTTTTAGTATCCTACAGTGTGTCTCGGTTGCATTCATACTTGGATAAGAACTGTGGCTAGGACCAGGGATTTAGCTCAGTGGTTCAGCGCCTGCTTTGCAAGCACAAGGACCCAAGTTCAATTTCCAGTGCCCACCCCCAAAAAAAGAACTGTGGCTGTACCTTATGTTCATAGGCCACATTTTAAAAATTAACTTTGTTGGAATGCTTTAGGTGTACATTGTGATCGCATTTATCTTTGGGAATTTATACCTGTGCTTTATTTGTTTCTCCCATTCCCCTTCCACTACTTCCACTCCTTCACCCCTCCCTATTTACGAAAGTTTTGTTTCCATTTTTCCTTCTTTTCTCATATTTGTTTCTTTTTGGTCATTACTCCATTGTGTTTAAGGTACTTTGTGTTATGGAAACCTTACCAATTTAGAACAATACACATATATTGCCCCACATTTTAACCTGGGAGTGGCTTGGCTGAGGGGTTCTGGTTTAGTTTTTTGGGAACTTGCCATTAACTGTCAGTCAGGACCACCATCCTCTTGGGGCTCCAGGAAGCCAGAGGATGGACTTCTAAGCTCACTCATGTGATTGTGAAGGGCCCTCACATTTGCATTGGGTTTGAGATGATTTTCTTTTATTTTTGCCATCAGACTGACTTTTAAATTATGTAGTCAAAATTTACTTTCTCTAAAAGCACCTCCCTCCTCGCATTACAGTTATTTCAGTATCTTAAAAATCAGACCAAATTTGTTTTTTTAGTTTTCTAAAATTCTTTTAAATATTACATTTAAAAAGGCTAAGAATTATACTTGCATTTATATGTCCACTGCTCTCCTATTTTAAGAAATGTTCATAATGGAGAATAACATCAGGTTTTCCAGAGGTTTTTCATAGTTCAAGAACCATTTTTCTTGTTAATCATGATTAAATTCAAAAATAGCCATTCTTCTTCAATATTCCTGCGTTCCTTTTCTTTCATATATAATATTTTAAAAATAAAGAGTTCATTCTAATTTTAAAGGTTTTTAAATATAAATGTAAACACAAAAACAACTCCAGATGTACTCAGCTACCTCATCTTTGACAAAGAAGCCGACCATCCTCACTGGAGTCAAGATAGTCTCTTTAATAAATGGTGTTTGAAAAACTGGATTTCGACCTGCCAAAGATTAAAACTAGACTCTATCTTTCACCATGCACTAAAGTAAAATCCAAGTGGATTAAAGATCTGTATATTGAGAAAGGAACACTAAACTTGCTGGAAGATAATTTAGGCAGAACTCTTGAAGAAAATGGCATAGGAAAAGACTTCATGAACAAATCCTCAGTAGCATGGGAACTAGCAGAAAGAATCAACAACTGGGATCTCATCTTATTAAAAAGCATCTGCACTGCAAAAGAAGCCTTCAACAGAACTAAAAGACAACCTATGATGTGGGAAAAAATTTTTACCATCTGCTCCTCAGACAAAGGGCTCATATCTAGAATATTTAAAGAACTCAAAACAATCAGCCCCCCTCAGGTAAAAAGACCCAGTTCAAAAATGGACATCGGTGGGCCAGGGATTTAGCTCAGTGGTTCCAGCGCATGCCTAAGCACAAGGTCCTGAGTTCGATCCCCGGTATCAAAACAAAAAACAGAAACAAACAAAAATAAAAACAAAAATGGACATCTGAAATGAACATACATTTCTCAGACAAAGAAGTAAAAGCAGCAAGTAAATATATAAAAAAATGTTCTACATCACTGGTCATTAGAGAGATGCAGATGAAAACAACACTGAGATTCCACCTCACCCCACGAAGAATGGCTGCTATCAAGAAATCAACCAATAACAAATGTTGGCGGGGTTGTGGGGAGAAAGGAACCCTTCTCCATTGTTGGTGGGAGTGCAGACTGGTGCAACCACTATGGAAATCAATATGAAGATACCTCAGAGAGCTGGGACTAGAGGTTCCATTTGACCGAGCCATCCCTCTGCTGTGTATCTTTTCAAAAGAATTAAAAGAATCATATCTCAGTGATATATGCATACCTATGTTTATAGAGGCAGAGTTTGTAATAGCTAAAACTTGGAAACAGCCCATTTGCCCATCATTTGGAGACTGGATAAAGAAGATGTGGTTTTTCTATAAAATGGAATGCTACACAGCCATAAAGAATAAAAAATTAGATTCATTCATAGAAAAATGGATACATATCAGGGATATACTCCTAAACAAATAAGTCACACATGTGTAAATACCAAATAGTTTCTCTGGTGTGAAGAAACTATAATAGTACATAAGATCCTAATGAGATAATGGACAATGTGAAACAGGAAGAAAAGGACTAAAGGTGTAGGGAAAGTGGGAAGGGCAGGGGAAAGGTAATAAGGGAAAAGAAAAGAATATGAGAACAAGAAAAAATGGAAATAAAGTGTTTGCAAATGGGGAGGATAGGAGGGGGTGAAGGGAGGGCAGGGACAAGGGGAAAAATGAGAACCAAGACCTGTCATGTAAAGGTACAAGATCCCATTAATGAGTGTAACTGTACTGTATACCTGTATAAAATGTACCAATAAACTCAATGAGAAAAAATGAATAAATGTAAGCACTTAAAGCCATGAGACTTTGTCTGCCCACCTTTTCTCTCTCTTATCCTTATAGGGTTTACCATGGTGAACAATGCAGTATCTGTGAATCAATCCAGATCTGTTCTTATGCAAAACAATTATAGATGTGTAGATTCAGATTCAAGCACCTATCTTGATTTAAATTTAGGTTTACTCAATATTTGAAAATATCTCAGTATGCATAGATTAACATATCCTGGACATTCTTCCATGCTGATACTTGTAGATATTGAAGATTAATTCATTTTAGGACTACCCTGTAATCTACATAACTCTTCCTTTATTGATAAACATTTAACTTATCTCAATTTCTTTCCATTTAAATAATATGGCAAGGAATATTGCTATATATTGCTGTGTACTTGTGTATAACTATATGAAGGATTGATACTTGCAGGAGTCGAAATACTAGGTCATGCATTCCTCAATAGTCTTAAGGTTTGGAAACTGGTTATTTCACCAGATTGTTTGGTAAAATGATTGTAGCTTTTCTGTGTAATCATGGAGAGAAAAAGCAATGTTTTAATGCTCGATATAAGATCAGAAACTGACACGTCACACAGCGATTGTGTGTACGAGTATTTGTGGCAGCCCTTATATGAGGAATGTTTCAGAGACAGCAAGAGAACAACATGTTAGAATGAACTGACCAAAGGGAACGGTAGTAGAGGAAAAGCTCAGAGAGATAGCAAGAGACAAACTACATAGTTTTGTAGATCGCTTTAAGAATTTTGCAAACCTTCTTTCCATTATCACAATCTAAAAAGCAGTTTGTAATAATGTTTGCTCTTCTGCTGCTTTGTGGCTTTCATCCTAACACCCTTAATTCCTCCAGCAAAGCCCAGCTTCTTCGTAACCACCAGAGTCTTATTCCTTTGCCACTTCTTCTTTTTGCACTTGTAGACTATGTAATTTAGTGGAAATAAACTCCCTTTCTTCATGAAAAGTGCACATTATTTTATTTTAGTTCTCACTGATCCTCATTCACAATATTTTTAGCTTTTCTGTTTTCCTTTCCCATTTATTCTTTTGCTTTTCCAGTTTTCTTTAAGCTTCCTTTGCCAAATCTTTACCTTTCTTCACTGTGTAACCTAAAGTTTATTCTTGGTACCCCCCCGCCAACCTTGGGTGACCCTTGAAAGGTTTCACTGATGCATTTCCTTCCCCAAGTAAGTTAATAGAAAATTCTCTCAGATTACTTCTCTTCCTTCTTTCACTGTTTTTTGAAAGAAAACGTTCACATTTCAACATATTTAAGTATGCCTTTATTTTGTTCAGTTTTAAATTAATATATAGCTACGATATTAAAAGATATGTCCCTCATAGTTAGTATAATGCACTTTGAGAAGAACACATGATACAAATGATCTAAAATATGTTTTCTTTCAGGTGGTTTAGAATCTTTGAAAAATCTTCAGCAACTAATTTTGGACCACAATCAATTAATTAGTACAAAAGGTCTTTGTGATACACCTACCATTATATACTTGGATTGCTCATATAATAATCTTACTGATATTGAGGGCATTGAAAATTGCGGATTGCTTCAAGTATTGAAGTTACAGGGAAATTATCTAAGTAAGGTAATTGTCTTAAATTAATTTGTCTGGATGAATGTAACATTCTTTTAGAAATATCAGCCACACATTAAAAGGCCACTGTGAGTAAATCTTTTTTCCAATTAGCTGCATTTGATATTCAATTTATTTTTAACTCTTTTATACTTTATCTAAAAATGTTCAATAGTTGTAATAGTTTATGACTCTAATTTAAGGTTAGTTTATCCTAATACTAAAATAAAATAATCTATACCATGTTAGATGTATTAAAGTATATAATTAGGACTAAATTTATCTATTAAGGAATTATAATTGCATTTATAATTAAATACCTTTTATAAAAAAGTTTATTAAAGATATAGGGTTAATTATTAGAAGTTTTATTTATTCTAAAATTTCCACAATGTTGTTCTGTCATGATTTACATTTGTAAATTTTGGTAAGTTTTATATTTTTAACTTTTGTGAGCTGACAAAATATAAACTAATGAGCTGTATTGAAATTTAGCTTCCATCCTTGGGAAATCATGTTCTTCTAAGAGAACTGAACTTGGACGATAACAGTATTTCAACTCTGGAAGCATTTTCTTCATATTGGCTGCCTTTACTACAACATCTTACTATTTCACAGAACAGGTAATATACACTTTACTGAAGAATAAACTCAAACAATTTTTACTTAAAACCAGTGTATGGTATGGTGTTCATAAATAAGTGGAAAAATTGGTTGTCTCCGGTAATTCAGTGAGAGTACATCAAAATAAATTAGTACCTAAATTATAAAGACTAAGATACCTTATAGAATTTGATGGATTTGTATACTCTAAAATTTTAATTTTTAATATATTCTTATTTTCTTTCTTCTCAATGATACACTTGTAGAAATCTCAAAGGGCAAGTTTGTTTATATTTGTAAAGAATAGTCTGTGGAAAATACAGGAGGTAGCTAATTTAATTCAGAAGGATGTCTCATTCTCTCAAATGGTACTTATTAAGTCCTGAGAGAATGATTTTTAATCTGGTCTCAGCTTGCATGTCTTTTTGTAACTGTTGAGATGGATTAAAGGTTGATTTTCCCTAAGGATATAAAGTAACACTTAAAAATGCCATAACGTTAAATTGAAATGGGTACCTGCCTCAGAAGATTCATTTGAGAGCACCAAACATCTGGATCTGTATAGAGAATCACTGCCTAAAACCAAAACAGAAGTAAGTGCACTATGTGTACTTCTCCTTCTACTTAATATTTCATTGAGACCTATTCATTGTAGTATGATTAATTTGCTCATCAAAGGCACACAGAGTAGGGTGAAGGAACCACATTTTAATAAGAAATTACTTTTTGAGATATCCAATGCTACAAAACAAGTGAATAAGGACAAGCATGTTTTAAAAACGTGCAAATCTGTCTCTCAATCCCTGTCACAATACTGCTCACCATCTGAGCATGTACATACTAAACTATGTAACCTGCACTATTGAAGTCTGAAAATCATATACTGAATCTGTATTCAGAAAGCCCTGAAGTTGTTTTAATCAAATACAAAATATGAAGGTTTACTTGACTTTAAAAGGACACCGTTTAGGCTTAAAAGCCAGTTGTTAGACAGTACTGTGGGGGACTGTGGACCACCCACAAACCCTTCCCTGTTTTCATTGTGCTCTTCAGGTTAGAAATACACTTTCAAAATGATGTACTGAGCTACATTTTGGACACATGCAGTAAATCAGGAATCGATATATCTAATATATTTTATAGCAGTGAATATCAGGCCACATTAAGGATCATAAAACTATTTACAGAGATTAGAAATTTTCTGAACGATAAACTTTTGTTAAAAAATAATGCCTTTAGTTTCTTTGAATGACTTAAGTCATCTAAAAAAATAATCTATTTCTAAAAATTACAATTAATACTAGGTGATAAATGTCTTTTGTTCTTTTATGTCATTCATATTAATATGATATAAAAGCATTGTTTTATAATAATAGCGATCATTTGGATAATTAACCCCAATGACCCCTATTTATAATCTTTCTTTGCATACTGTATAATATTTGAATATTGACACGGAGTTTTCTGTCTTCACAGACATAAAAAGGAATGGTGTATTTCTTATTGTAAGAACCCTTTGAAATATAGTACCCTATTGTTTAAGCTTATCACTACAGAAGGGTTTATGATATAACATATGCCATTTTGAAAATTTTAATAATACTGTCACTGAATGTGTCCTTTTCGAGTTTTTCAAAATTCTTTGCATATTTTCTAGAAAATAAAGAGAAAACACATGAGCTCTTAGTATGGAAATGTAATTGGTGAAATGGGAAAATAGTAAAACTATTTCCCAGTACTTTATTATAAATATAATTTCCCACCTTCTGATTTTTTATAAAAGAAAAATTAATATCAGTAAGTGTGGGAATGAGTCATCTTACATCATGCTTTTATATGTGTATGAGTCATTTCAAAACTGTGTTAGGTTTAATAAAACTCAGAATCAGCAGATGTGAATTTGAATATTGACTGAGGTCAAGCCATTGATTTCTCACTCACCATCTGAGCCTGTCCCCCCTCCAGCCCACACACAAAGGTAGAATGTGTAATAGTGCCTACCTAACCTGTTTTCAGTGATCATCCAAACAGAAAATATATGTGGATCCATTTTAAAGACCTGAGAATAATTTTGTAAATGTGTACGTATAGAAATATGAGGCACGTGAAAGTGTGTGCATCTGTGTGTTGTGCGTTTTTGTGGTTAGCATGGTTTTTAAATTGTATATATTTTTCTTTTAATTTTTGATAAAATGTTTTCATCACAAGGAAGAAATTATACATCCATATGCTTTTCCTCCCAACAAATAGAATACATATAAAGAATGATATTTAGTACATATTGTTTGAAATGCTTGTTTCATCCTGACTTCTGTTTTAGATTTTCATTAGGACATGTCACTGTTTTAAGTTCGACTCAGCCAAGTTCTAACCAGAAGACTCTGGCTTCATAAGCTTTTCTACTTCCAGTGAGGCTCTAAGTAGTAGCAGAAAGTGGAAACTGTTACCCATTGGCTGCTCATTGTACAAATCTTTTGCTTTCTGTCGTCTTTGAAATTTATCTTTTTAATGCCCAGGGCTAATGTGACAAGGTCAAATGGTATTAGGTTTTCACTAATGTCCTTTATCTTTCTGGTTTAAATTTTCTTGGAAAAAATATACATTGAATGTGAGTAAGAGGAAAAGCTTTAGAGGTTGAAATAAAAGGAATACTGCGATTAGGTTTCTATTTTTCTATAATGAAGAGTCATGTTAGTTTCTAATAAAAATAACTTTTAAAAAATGCATAGTTACATGAAAAGATAAAATATCATTATAGTCCAAAAATATTTGGTAATAGCACGTATTTCTTAGGTTGATTTTTGCAAAGGAGATTTTTATAGTTTTTTAAATTGTAAAACTTTATTGGTTATTTTCATTTTCTGTTTAAACATGTTATCATAACCTTATTACTTAAAAACATCAAATACTATATTCTGAAAGAAAGAGGAAAAATTACAGTATAACCTAAGGATTTAATATGCATTAGCTGTTAGTCTTTTCAGTAGAAAGAGAAACGATTGGTCTTAGGAATATATTAAGGTTATAACACAAATAAGAGTTTTCTTGCTGAGAAATACACTTAGGCTTGCCCTGGAAGAATTTAAATTTCTTCCTTGTGATAATAATATCAGAAATATAATGAATTATCACAGTGGGCGGAAATATAATGAAATTAATATTTAAAGCCAATAACTATGTATCCACATCTTTTTAATTTCCTCTCTCATTCTCTCCCTCCTCCCTTTGCCCCTTCAATCCTTCATTCTTTCCTTCCTTCCATCTCTGATCACATGATGGTAAATTTTACTGTTATGGAATGTACAAAGGAAGTGTATGCATGAATGTGATGACTAATATTTTTCTCACATTCTCTTTAAGTTATTTGAAATCTTACCCTATTGAAACTATTTTTAAGAAGGGATATTATATAGGTTTACTATGCATAGTAATATTTTAGTATTTAGGAGTGAGAAATTTTCTTGTAGCCTCGTCACTTATTATTATTATTATTATTATTATTATTAATTCATTTTTGGTCCCGGGATCGAACTCAGAACCTTGCACTTGCGAGATAGGCAGTGGCACCACTGAGCTAAATCCCGAGCCTCTGTAGCGTCATTATTTAGTCTGCATATTTATCAGCGGTGTCTTCTGTCTCTCTGTTAATGCAAGACAGGGTAGTACAAGAGAAGCCAAGGTCAACTGGAAGGTTGATTTTGTGCCAGAGGCTGCAAGATCCCATGAGGTTTTTCAGTCACAGCGTCATGTTCTATGGCTTCTGACCTTAGAATAATGTTTTTTATTTCTTAAAAAAAAAAAATGACAGGGAATTCATGGAAACAAACAGGTAAATAACTCTACTAGGACAACTGGAGAGACAGAAAAGAGAGAAAAGATGATAGAGGAGAAGAGAAAGAAAGAGGGAGAGAGAGATAGCCAGAAGAAGAGGAAGAGGAAGAAGACGACGAGGAAGGGGAGGTGACAGAGAAGAATAAGGAGGAAAAGAAGGGCAATAGAAGTACAGTTAATGAGTACTTTTTTGTACCAGAGATGCTCCTTTAGCTGAATAATATTTTGAGTAGTTATGGAATTTCAATATTTATAAGGGAGATTAATTTAGAAGACTAGCAATTTTCATGGGACTATATCTTATGAAAAGGAGATTTTTGTCTCATTTAAAACTCAGATAAGCTGGTTTAATTTAACTTCCAATAACTACAGTAATGCAGCATTCTGTTGCAGAATGTCTTAGTTGGAAATGTAAGTCAAGCTAAAGATAATTTTCCCTTCTTAATTTTTCTGCCAAGAACATACATAGTTTCAATAATATTTATGCTTCTCGTTTGAATGTAAGTTCTTAATAAAAATTATAACTCAGTAAGTGATAAGAACTTTTATCTTTTTTTCTTTTTATTGAGTTTATTGGTACAATCTAGGTATACAATATAATTACATTCATTATTGTGATCTTGTACCTTTATATGATAGGTATTGATTCTCATTTTTTCCCCTTGTTTTTGCCCTCCCTTCACTCCCTCCTCCCCTCCCCATTTGCAAACACTTAATTTCCATTTTTTCATTTTCTCACATTTTTTCCTTTCCCTTATTACCTTTCCCCCACCCTTCCCACTTTCCCTACACCTTTAGCCCTTTACTTCCTATTTCACATTAGTAATTGTCTCATTAGGATCTTGTGTGCTATTATAGTTTTTCACACCAGAGAAACTATTCAGTATTTCAGTTAATGAAATCTCTGTATGAACATTAAAAATAGGGAAGCCTAAAATAAAACTAAAAAGGAAAGTAAAAGAGAAAAGGCAGTGATGTAAAATTAAAATAATCCTTAATTCTGGAGATGAAAATGGTCCCTGAACATATGTAAATTGCTTCTTGCTCTTGTAGTCTTATATTCTTTTTTTTCATTATTTAGAGAATACTTTATTAGTTTCTGTAATCAAACCCACGTAGATATGACCTTACATATTTAATACAGTGCATTATCCCTGTACAAATGGAAAAAACTTAACATTTCTAGACCAATATGGCTGTTAATTTCTGTACAATGCCAACTCAACGCAGTAAATTGGGATAACTTTTTCCAAAGTTGACAGCACAGTTAAAGTTTCCAAAAATTCAAAATATGTATATATGTATATTAATATAAATATTAATATTAATATATTAATATAAAAAGACCAATAATAGCAGTATGTTATGCATCAATAGCAGCAACAGCTTTTCCAGGTTCTGCAGTCATGTGGGCAAAATTATAGACATTCAGCACACTCCATTAAAAAAACAAAAACAAAAAAACAAAGAAAAGAATAATACCCAGAAAACAGCAAAATTCTGTTGCTGTTGTGGTACCTGGCACCATTTTGTTTATTAGCATCTTAGTCATCATCTGGAAAGAGAACATTCTAGAGTAACATCATTAAAAATAGCTCTGATAAAGCACGGTCACTAGTACATATCATAAAGCAGGTACAAGATATTTTACATTCACAGAGGTAGATAAGAACTTTTAAAAGTGGATGGAAGTTCATTTATTACAATCTTATTATGTAAAACTAATGTGTTAACTTATTAGTATATTTCTGCTAAATTTTAATTTTTGATACTAATGTAAAACATTTTATGACCTTGTGCTCCTTGGACTTATTGTTTGTACATTATGCATATTTTCAATTTAGAATTAGTGCCAGTATAACTTTGGATATTAGTACTTAAATACTTTCAATCTATTATGTAAAGAATTTTTTAAAATTAACAAACAAAATTATTGTCTCCATTATCGTGCTGAAAAGTTATTTTATTTTAATGTTTGTATTTTAAAGATTTAGGTCACATGCTTGAGCCAAAGGAAGAAAACCATACATAATGTACATACTGTTAACTTTGGCCTTATAAAAAAGAATAACAATGAAAAACATTTATTTGAATTTTAATAGCAAATACACATCAAAGTCCATTATGTTTGTGACTGAAATTTTTATCCCATGGCAGATTCTCTTTAAAACAATTTGGAATCTCTTATTGTATAAATGTTCCATAGCGATTTTTTTATAAAAAGGAATAAAAATATTCCATTATAGGATTACTTAGATACCTATGGTTATGGCATTTTTAATAAGTACTGTTAGTAAATATTATAACTGCATTGTGTTATACAATTACAATTATATAATTGTATACAATTTGGCATAATTATATAATTGTGTTATATAAATATTTTGTTATATAGTCACATCGATAACATCCAGAATATGTTCACTTATAATTTTAAATAAATTTTTGTTTTTGTTTTTAGTTTGACAAAAATTGTGCCACTTTTTCATTTTATTTCTTTGGAAAAACTAGATGTCAGCAGCAATTGTCTTTCTGGTAAGTTTAGAATAATATTTAACTTTTTTATACATTTTGATCCTTATTTACACTTTCAATTTCTTATACCAGAGGGACTATTCAGTATTTACAAATGTGTCCTATGCATTTAGCACTAAATGCGTCTAATTTCTCATTCTTTATGGCTGAGTAGTACTCCGTTTTATTAAAAATCATATTTTCTTTTTCCAGTCTCCAGTTGATGGGCAATTGGGCTATATAATAGATAATGTCAAATAGGAAGAAAAGGTCCAAAGGGGAAGGGGATTTAGAAGGGGTAGGAGAAAGGAAATGGGGAATGGAATTAATATAAGAAAATGAAGAAGTGGAAACAAAGTCTTTATAAATAGCTAGAATTGGAGGGGTTGAAGGAAGGCCAGGGGAAAGGTAAAAATAAGAATCAAGATATTTTATGTACAGGTACAAATATCCAACGATGAATGTCATTATATTGTAAACATAAAATGTACCAATAAAATTAATTAAAAACATTTAACTTTTTAAAAGGAATAGACTTTTGAGTTTCTTTTCCAAATATGATAAGGAATTGTTTTGAATACATGCGGTATTTACTAACATTAAACCTATACAATAAAATACACTGAAATAATTTGTTTAAAATTTTCTTTTAGCTCTTCAAATATTACCTTTTATCTTTGTGATAGGCCTAAGTAATCATCAAGTATTTTAACTTTAAGATACATATCTTTTACCTATGAAATAGACCACAAAAGATGAGTAACAAAAAATTTTATAGTATAGATGGCCATTATGTTATAAGAAAATAATGAATTTGATTAACTAATCCCCTTCAAAAAGTTTTCCTAATCACTTTGTATAGACAACCACAGTCTGAATTTATGAAAATAATTTTTCATATTAATGAGATCAAACACTTTTTAGGTTTTTTGTTTGTTTGTTTGCCTTCTACTTTCTGAGCTCAGTATTCATGTGGTATTCCACCATACTGTTTATTCAGGACTTTGTTGTTTTTATGCTAATTTATAATACATTGTATGACTATATCAGAATTTGTTGATCCATTTTTCTATTCCTGTGATATTTGAAGGTTTAAAGCTTAGAGGTACTATGATATAAAGTTCCTACAGGAACTCTTATACAATTTTTTATGCACACTTATATTTTTAGTATTCTTGGTTAAATGTTTAATGTTATTTTTGGATAATAGAATAAGTATAGGATTAACTTTAAAAAAAACTTGGCCAACACTGTTTCTAAAGTAGCTGTATTACTTTGTATACCTAACAGTAATGCATTAGAGTTCCATTTATTCCATTCTAGAGTTCATAGTATCATTGAATTATCTCTTTGTGTATTTCTTTAATGAATATATTGAGTCTTCGTTTTACAGATATTTATTAGTGATTTTATATCTTTTGATGTACATATTGCATTGCTTTACAATTTTAAAACTTTGATTATTTGTCATTTTCTTTTTGATTTTCAGAAGTTCTCTTTTCTATTCTGGATGAATTATTTATCAGATAATATACTCTGTAATATTTTCTCCTAGTTTGTTTTACGTGTTGATTTTATGAATAGTATTTTTAAATTAGAGTTTTAAAAATTATAATGAAATTTAATTTCTGTATTTCACAATTTGTAATAGTTTTCTACTTCTAGAAGAAATTTTTGTGTACTTTCCTTGTAGAAATTTTGTACTTTTAGCATTTATCATTAGGTTTCTAACCCATGTTAAATTAATATTTATTTATGGTGAAAACTGGCAGTTGAGTTCATCTCTTTATATGAATACACAGTTGTTCCAGCAACATTTATTGAATAAATGTTTTCAATCATTGAATTACTTTGCTATCTTTATCACAAATTGGCTCTCTATCTGGGTTACTTTGGGATCTGTTTCTACTAATAGCTTTTCTACTAACAATAGCTTGCTTTTTCCTGTTTTCCCATACTTCTAGTACATTTTAACTGTACATGGAACATTGGAGATATTAGTTTAGTGAGTCTAGATATTGTTTTCTTTTAAATGATGTTAAATTTTATTCTAACAGGCAATTAAATTAGTGATGAATAACTTTGTCTCTGTCAGGCCCAGGTCATCCTTTCTTTGCATAGGCCATTCTAGTGTTCAACTCTTAGTTCATGCTTTTCTCCACTGCCTGGCCTTAATATCAGATGCCCAGTCTTTCTAGATTTCTGAGTCATTAGATCTCACATTGACTGTTCTGCAACTCTAATGTTTTTTACTACTGCAGAAACTTTATTGTCAAAGTTTATTTCTTAGTCCTACAGCATGTAATTTTTGCTAGGTTATGCAGTCTTGTCTAGCCTATGTGGCACCAACCACTTTACAAATATGTGGGGTGAATCCTCATACATAATCCCCCTCATGGACACACTTATTTTCTTCTCAGGACATTTTTCCCACAAATTTCAGCTTCAGTTCTAATGTCTGACTTGAATACAAGTGCTGTGTATTTTTTCTGGAATTATGGTTGTTTTCTGCTAGAAAGCAATTCAATCTACATACTCTGTTATGTACTACAGATTTACTTGTTATTTTTCACTTGAAAGTACAACAGGTCCATATAAGTCTATTTAGTTATATTTCAGTTTTTACCACCTATATTTCTTATCACAGACACGCGCTACTTGGCACCCACAATTTAAAGAAAAGACCTTTAATTTACCTCACAGTTTCTGGGGAGTCAGTCAGTGGTAGCCTATTTCCAAGGGAGAAACATCATGGCAGAAGCATAAGATTGAGCAAAGATTTTTAGTGCATGGTGGCTGTGGAACAGGAGAACAGTGCCAGAAAGGAAAGAGTGAGGGTCAATGCAGACCTTGAGGCCAAGGTTCTATGACCGTCGGGTACACACCGTGAGCTCCAGAAATCCCCTTGATGGATCCCAAAGACCCTCCACCCTAATCCTCATGCCACATATCCTATTATTTATATTTCACATCTTCAGATTTTATGTTTAGAATATGGTACAAAACTTGTAAACATTTTATACATATTATTTCATTTAATACTTGCTCTGTGAAATTTTACTGTGAATTTTAAGAAAGATTTGCCTAAGTTCACAGCTACTAAAGCATAAGAATGTTCTACAGCAGTCTAGGTTCTTAACCCAATTCATTCTCCTGTAAAAGTCTCATAATATTCTGCAGAAAATATAAAAATAATGTTTTTCTTTAATAGGGAACCATTAAATAAAATGATATTACTTTATAATTTTTCCTTTTATGTGACACCTGTCATAATGCTTTACCTTCTGTAGATCTTGAAAGTGCCATGAAATGGTTTGATGCATGCTATTCTCTCCGTGAATTGTCTCTCACTGGTAACCCACTTCTTCAAGAAATAAACTGGAGGTAAAGAAACATTTTAGTATTCTATGGACATCCTTTATTATAGCTACACGAAACAAAATTCAATTAATATTGTCTTACCAAAAGAAAATATTTGTGGAAAGTTGAATAAAAAGTAATTGAAAGGTTATTTTCAAAAGGTTATTATAGATTTGTTTAAAAATACTAATTGTTTTAAAACTACCTTTAGCCTAAAATAACTTTATTATGCATGTTTGAACTAAAATAAATTTTAAAATATAATTATGATTCAATCCATTGACTTTATGGCAAGTTTTGTATGATACTAACAGTTTTTGCATATATAGGAAAGACATTTGTTGAGAATTACTCCTTGCAAGTTATTAAAAATCACATAGCTTGCTAAATTATTTCCTTTCTGGCAATAATTTGCTTTTGTTTTGTTTTGGTAATGGGGATCAAACTCAGGGCTTTGTACTTGCCAGGCAGGTGCTGTGCTGCTGAGCTACATCCCTGGCCTGTTTTGCATTTTTAATGTTTTGATTGTAATATACTAATCTTACATATTTGTACATATAATGTGTTTTGACTCATGTGTACACTGAGTAATGAACAAGTGTAGTAATTAGCATATCCTTTGCCTTAAACTTTTCTGAAAAGTTAAAGTTGATGTTTGTTAAAAGATGCATATTAAAAGCATACGCCAATTCATGCCTTTCTTTGGAATGTTGCAGTACCTAGCTGTAAACCAAAAAACATGCTGTGTAATTAAAAAATTGTTTTTGTTCTTTGATTACAACACAAAAATATGATAAATATTCAAAATGATGGATATATAGTCATAACTCTGATTTGATTAATAACATTTCTGCAATATTTACAATCAGCTAGTTTGTATCTTGGATACAATATATTTTATTATTTTTATTTTGAAAATGAATATTTTTAAGCCATTACAATTGGGACGTCAAATATTTTTATCACTTTAAAAAACTACTCAGTGTCACTTTGCGGTCAGCTCCCTTCACTGCTGCTATGGAATGTCTCTATCGATCTCCTCTTTTTTGGTGAGAAATGTAATGACATTCTCTCTTTGCTCCTCTGTCTCTGCATAGATTTGTAGTTTTTGGACTTGATGAGTATGTGGAGTTTGGTAGTTTTATTTAGGGTTTCTCAGCTTAAAATTTAACATACTTCTGGATTTACAGATTTATAGTTTACATAAAGTTTTGAATAATTTTTGCCACTGATTTATACTTCATTGTTTTACTAAGATGCATATTTCAACAACGCTAGATAACTTGATGTGCTCTCTCCCCATTATTTTCTTAGTTTTCTTTCTGTTATTCACTCTGAATTATTTTTATTTATTTATTATCATTATTATTATTATTATTATGGTATTGGGGATTAAACTCAGGTCCTTGTGCTTGCGAGGCAGGCAGTGGAACCATTGAGCAAAATCCTCAGCCCAACTCTGAGTAATTTCTATTACAATTCGTTTAAGTTCTCTGATATTCTCTTACAATGTACTCTGCTGTGAATCCCACCAAAATATTTTTAATTTAAATGACAGGTATTTTAATCTCTAGAAACTTCATTCTTTTAACATTTGTTACATAGCACATCGTGTTTTTGTTTGTTTAAACCTTCTTAAACGTATCAAAAATATTTTTTAACCACCATTTTAACATCTCTGCTCTTATTTCCATCCTCTGTCATTTTGCAGTCAATTTGGGATCATAATTCTCTGCTTTTTTGCATGACTACTCAATTTTCATTTTATTTTGGACATCACAAATTTTATGTTGTTGATGTTTAACTATATTGTATTCTTTTAGCACCTATTTTGTCTTTGGTGTGCAAAAGCTGAATTACTTGAAACCCGTGAGATACTGTCAAAGCTTGGTTGTGAGTTGTGTTAGGATAATCTCAAAGAGAGCTTTAGAGTAGTGCTACTGTAACTGCTCTACTATGGCAACAATGTTCAGACTCGTCTCTGAGATGTCCCATATATGTACTATTTCATCTTTGACGAGAGAGAGATGATTAATTCCCTGTATGGTTTCCTTAATGATTCTTTTTTTTTTTTTTTTTGGCACCAGGGATTGAACTCGGGTCCTTGTGCTTGCAAGGCAGGCCACTGAACCGCTGAGCTAAGTCCCCGGCCATTAATCATTCTTTTACGTTGTACTAGGTTTTTTTTATCCCCCCTCCTTGTCTAAGATGTTTTCTTGTCACACATCCTCAGATTGGTACTCATTTGCTTAGGTTTAAGTGAATTACATCCCAGAATACTGAATTTGTATATGTCCACGAAATTTTCTAGCATTGGTGATAATTCTAGCTTTTTATTCCCCCCCCCTTTTTTTTGTCCAAAAGCATAAAAAGAGAAGTTTGGGCATAAAAAGACATTTTCTGGTATGATTTATTTTTCATTTGAAATTTGTAGCATGTCAGGTCAAGGGTACCTCAAGGCAAAATAGAATAACCAAAACAGGACAAGCCAAGGGCTGTAATTCAGCAAGATCAGTTTGTATTGCAACAGTGATGTATTAAGTGTAGAGAAAGACAAACTTTTACTAAAATTCAGTAGAAAATCATTTTCAGAATCCTGTGTTTGTATTAATTTTGAAACTCTTGTCAGTTCAGGCAGTGAATGTACGGCATTTATTTAAAAAATTACAGATAGAGAAGAATGAATAATTGAAAAAAGAAACTACCATTGTGACACACTTGACAGAAACAGTGGACTTTCTGCCTTGATCTGATTTCCTTGCTATTGGTGGCCATATCCAGAGTCATTCTGATTCTGATGACTTCAGAGAGTATAAAATACCTCACATAAGAATTGAAAGTCTGGTTTGATATTCCGAAAATGACATAATCCACCTGCAAAAGACATTAAGAGATTCTACAGAATAGACTCCTGCCTTCTACTGTCTGAGGCCACTGCAAACCGCTCTTGCCAAGTGGATTGGCTTAGTGGATTTGCTAATGGTTAAGCATTTGTTAAGAAGTTGGGAGAATATACCAACTCAAACATCTATATAATTTCCTACTCTTTCATAATTTGTATATTATGGGTGAGCTATTATCCTTGCCCAAAATACCTTTCTTTTTTAAAGCTCAATTTCCATGTAAGTTTCTAATATAATACTCTGTCTTTTTTTTAAAAAAAAGAGCCTTATATCTTTCTACATATTATAAAACAGAATACATCAGCTGCCAGTTTGCAAATGACATTTCCAAGTGCACCCTAGGCTGTTTAGCATAGAGCAAAGAAAATAGTCTACTACAATCATTTAAAAAAAAATTCCCAGAGCAGCGTCATCATAATCACCTAGAAAACTGTTAGAAATGCAAAACTTTGAACTCTGTCCACACTTACTGAATCAGAACATTTGGTATGATTCTCAGTAATCTGTAGTAACTATTTCTTTCAGTGTTTCTGATGCACTCAAAAGTTTAGAAATTCTTATATTTTAAAACAAGGACTTCCTGTCCACTGCACTATTTTGCCTCATTCTGATCAAGTAACAACTGAATTCTCAGTGATTAAATTAGGATAATAGTCTCATTGGATACTTATGACAACTGAATGTTGCAATGTACATACTTTGTTTAGAACAATTGCTGGAAAAAGTAGGTAGACAAAAATGAATTTTTCCCACTACCATGCTAAGTGGACTATATATGGATTCTTAGTCTCCAAATATATAGCAGATTTCTATACTGTGTGCATCTTAATATCTTAAACACTATGAAAGGAAATTTAAGTGAAATACATAATTTCCAGACAGATTTTATAAATTTCTTAGGAATATGAAATATATATACTATAATGACAAACATGATAAATAATAATGATTAAAATGCAAATATTGAATTTGTGTCCAACATCGTTCTCATTTAATCTTCAAGTAGTGTCCACTGGATACTATATATTTAGGCGGATATCTCCATTTTGTAGTTGATAGTACCAAGTCATAAAAACATTAAATAACTTGACCCTGGTCACACAGCTAACAAATTGAAGAGGCTGGAATCAAACCCATACTTTTTGGCTCCAGATTCAGCCCTTTAACTTCCATATTTTAGTATCTAATAGAATATACGTGTCAGGGGGTCATAAGGAACAGGCATGCTTTAGCAGTTTTGAGTGAGACCTCAAAAGTTTGCTGAGATTTCAAATCAAACTAAAAGAGAAAAAGCCCTTTTGTTGGAGGGACTATCCAAGAAAAGGAAGGCATGGCCTGAAAAGTGTTGTTAGTCTCTATTAGAAGTCCAGTCTGTGCAAGTTTAAACTGGGTATACTGGGGAGTACTATTATGGGTGAGTGAGTTCGAACAATAAAGATGCGCCACTCTCCATGCCAAATTCAAGCCCTTTTATTATATAGCCGGCGGCTAAGGTAGCCAGCGCTTAGAAATTTCCTCGGCAATGAGAAGCAGTTTGATTTCTCCTTTTAAATCATACTTTCGGTTGGGGAGGGCTCAGGGGAGAGCAAGAGGAATCTTACAAAAGTTGAACCATGCCAGTTTAGTGGGGGACACAAGGAAGTTTCACATGCACTAGATGAGCTACAAAACATCCAGCAACTGTAGCGAGTTTACTGTCAAGCAGGATGTGGGGGTTTTGGGTGATTTGTTCAAGTGCAAGCTCTTTGTTTTAACGCAGGTACAGACTGGCATTGAGGCACAAGATGGAGTCAGGCTGGCTGTTGCAGTACCACTGGAAAGAGCTAAAGAATCAAATGCTTACATTTAACAGTACATTTGAGAGCAGGCCAATACTCTGTGTGTATTACTTCCCTTCGAGAAACTCATAGTTGACTTTCATAGCATAGAACATAGCTGTTATTACTCCTTTATTATAAAGGGCTTTTTATGCTAGGATAAAGAAGTTATCCTCTATCCTGTGTTATCCTGGAGTCTGTTGTAGCGTGGGTATCCATTTAAGCCCTGAGACCAAACTGCTTAGGATATATCTACTTTTACCTCTAGGTTATTTGATATTGTACAGATTTAATTCTGCTGTGA